ACTCTTGACATACAAGTTTTGCTCTCATTTCAATTTCCATTTCTATTTCGATTTCGATTTCCATTTTCATTTCTATTTTGACTGATGGTATGTGCGATGATGAGATTGGAAAGTTGCTCCACCCAGAAGACGACGACGTAGTCCTCGCGGCCAACTGCCAGTTTGCCTTAATCAAACATTCTTGTCGACTCTTTTTACAAAGCATTATGTTCCGATTTCTCTTCTCTTCTGACATACGACGGACATCATCACGTCATGACGTCATTATTATAAGAATATTTAAATTCTTTGTTTCCATATAAGTAGGTTTTCAAGGTTACCAGTATATGCATTCACCCTGTTTCTTTTAAGGCGATAATGAGACTTGTAGTTGAATTTTCCAACAATGACACAAGTACGCTTTACGTCTTCATAGAATTTTACATAGTATAGTTTTCCCAAAAGTTATTATCATCCATTTAGGAGTGGACCACAGCTTCAATCTCAGCATCACCAGCGGGACCTAAACTGACCGTGCAGCGCAGTTTTTTGGAAAGCAAATCTACGTGAAATTCAATATAAACGTAAGCTCTACTCATTGGATTGCTAGAAAAATCAACCACCCCTACTAGTCCCCCTATCACCTTAACCGAAATAGGCTAAATATACTTCATATATAAATATTAAAATTCGTTAGTTTAACTAGCTATGCACAAATATATGCACTAGGTAATTGACATATGCACAGATTAGCATACAGTCACAGAAAAACTCATAGGTTGACGTATGACTTGAGCTACCCAAATCACTTAATACCTCACAAAAATGTATACAGTTAGACTGTATATACAGCATCAGCGTCAACAAGAATGTTCGAGCAAGGTCAACCGACAACGGGTTAAGATTATAGATACGAAGATAAAATGGGTTTCGATGAATCTCCTCTAGATAACACTGTCAGGGGTACTTTCATTCCGTATGAAAGTGCATGAAGAAGAGATTCGTAGATCGATCTCACCAGAAGAGGACGGATGAATCGCGTTGTACTGCAGCAGTTTGGCTTTGATGCGACGGTCAGGTTGACACGGTCCACGATATCTCCTCCTTCGTTTCGGGTGCAAACGGGCTGTGCTTTCGTTCATCATTCGATGAACATCATCAGAGCTGGGTCTCATTCATGTGAAAGTATCACGTTAACATTATGGCAAGAAGACTAGCCAGCTCTATCTTTCCTCTTATTCAGACTCAAGTAAGCAAACGAAAGGTAAAAGGCTTACATAGATATAGAATGGTTTGCCTAATTATCTTTCACACTGGTCCTGCTTCTTGCTCTAGTGTTAACGTGAGACTTTAACATGGATGAATTCCAGCTCTGATGATATCCATCATATGATGGACCAAAGCTCAGACCGTTTTCACCCGAAACGAGGGAGGAGGTCTCGTGGACTGCGTTAATCGGAACGTTGTATAAAAGCCAAACGACTGCAGTACAACGGGATTCATCCGTCCTGTTCTGGTGAGATGGACCTGCGAATCTCTTCTTCATGCACTTTCATACCAAATGAAGGTCCCCCTAACTATGTTTAAGAGTAATTTTGCCGTCGTCTTCTGATGGGATCGAGCTTCGAGTCCCTTCATTTCACTATCTTACACTCGCAATGGAATTGAGCTTTACCAATTGTAAACCATCAGGGTCCTCGAAACCCACCTTTTCTGGAATATTCCAGTAAGATGAACTGACAGCGATCAAGAGGTAACCACTATTCTCTTCTGATGGGATCGACCACAGAATCTCTTCATCATACACACTTTCACACGAAATGAAAGTGAGCAGAGAGGTATACTTTTGACGCACAGCTTGGACTCTAGATCCTACTGATGAGTGAACAGAATGATTTGCGCGTCCCGGCAAAATGTGTCTCAGCCTGACCCTTTCTCAGCTGCAAAATGATAATAAGACTTTGCCGTTGTATAACAGTGATCGGATCATACTTTTGCAACTTGATCGTGTTGTCAGGGCGACCTAGATCAACACGCTTTGTCATGTGGGAGTCGTGATAATTTCTGGCAAAGGACAGTTGGCCTGGTACAGTCCAAATCACAGAGAACTCCGAGAGCTTTGTGACTAGAAATCTACCAATTCCGCGGTCAAACGCTGTGAATTACCATGACTACGCATAACAGAGGACTCGAGAAAAGATGATTAAATCAAGATCGCCATTACAACATGACCAAGTTGCCAAAAACGAGGTCAAACCGCTGCCATACAACGAAAGGAATTCGAGACCAAAATAAAGGCAAGACATTTTGGTCTTCAAATCTTCTTGTGTTTAACAATTCAGTCGGCCCAGGCTGCTTAAGGTGAGTTAAACAGTTTTTCCCACAATCAGATGACTAGGCCTCATGATACCGCAGAATTCCCAAAAGGTTTTCTTTGTTTCTGGCCTGATTGGACCAGTACATTTCCGAATTCGCACGCATCTCATCAGTACCCAAATGTCCCTCACAACCGGGTTGTGCGCATCAAACGGCAAAACATTGGCACTCCACCACACAGCCACGGTTGCCAGTGCCTTTTAAGGCGAGACATACTTCTATCAAATCACACTCATTTGGGGATTGTGAAGAGGGAAGACTTGCATCCGCCAGTAGGATCGATGACATTTCTTACATTTGTTATGAATATAATTTTTATTTTCAACAATTACTGATAGTTTTGATAATACACATATACCGAACAGAGGCAACGTTGTCGGCTGTAACGACAAATGCAGATTCGCTTCATCCGCACTCCCACAATAAAAGTGTGATTTGCGAGAGGCCTGGCCTGCCAAGAAAGTCACAGCTGCCTTGTGACTCACTGGCAAGCGTAGCTGTGCGGTCGAGTGATAAGGTGTAGCGACTTGATGGCCACATTCCGGTACTGATGAGATTTGTGCGAGGCTGTAACTGCAGCCAAGCACAGTCAAGCCGGAATGAATCTTTTAAAAGATTGGAAGGAATCCAGTAGCATCGTGAGGCCAACTAATTAGATTGTGGGAAAAATCCGACTATTAGTCCTTTATTCACCTTAAATGACCTAAGACGACAAAGTTCTCATTAAAAATATTACTTATAACTTCCAAGTCATATTTATTATATTCGTATTGAGTAGGCTTACAAACTACCAGAAGCTCTTAACTGAAGACTATTTACCGTAGGTCGCACAAACTGATGAAGGAGTAATAGTTGAATTTTTATTAAAATTCTATAAGTATGCCTTACAATGTCATTGAAATTTGCTTGGCCTTGCATTTAAAAAAGGTAGTCTCATTTCAGATTGACTGGATTGAGGTTTTGACCTCGCCTGAACTGATCTCATCATCAACCCCAATGGGAATTTTAACATGTCAACACTATTTTTATGAGTGAGTAGGCTTTCTAGACTACCAGTACATCTGATATATGAGTCGTTTTCACCCTATTTCGTCTAAGGTGATGAAGGACTGGTAGTTGCATTTTCTCACAATGATGTGAGTAGAACTGATGTTTCCATTGAATTTCACATCGCCTTGATTTTCCAAAAAACACCAGCTCTACTTATATGATTGTGGGAAAATTCAACTACCAGTCCTTCATCACCTTAAACGGAATAGAGTGAAAACAACTCATATGTCAACAATATGCCACATCACAACCAACTTTTGCGGCTCAGGATGAATTCAGCCATTATTTAAGATCTATTGGTAGTTTCAAAACCTACTCAATCAGAATATAAGTAGTGTGGCCAATTGCAATAGCAAACACAAGTTTGTTTATTTTCCCATATTAAGTAGGTTTAGTGAATAAAATATATTAGATGTATAGAAGTTATTCAACCTTGTCTTTGCAACTTGGCCATATTGGAAGGAAGACTTAGAGGAATGCACCTTGTCCGGAGTCCATAGTATGCACGATCATTTCCAAGCCGAACCATGGACTTGGTACATTTCCAGCCATTTCGTCGCCATCGTTTCTCTCGATCTTTAATCCCTAATGCCAAGTCTATGACTTGCTCTTGCGTGCCAACCTCCAAATGTGGTGGTTCTACTTGATTTGAACAGGTTCACTGTAGACGTCTCCTCTTGGTTTCCGATGTTGCTTCTATCGTCTGGAAATGTACCATTCCACGGTCCGAATCTGGAAATGATCATGCATACAATGGACTCCC